GCCAAAGTGCAAAGTGAATTGCCTTTGGTCTATCAACAATTGCTATCATCTGTCATCTGGTTTGAATTCTACTCCTTCTGCTGATTTCACTATCTCTGCTCTATATAGTGTTACTTATCTGCTTGCTTGAGTGCTTATATAAAATCAAACATATTTTATTTCATAGTAAACAGTACTGGGAAAAGCTTCTGTGTGGCTGACTTTGCAATTGAGGGATTACCCTTTAAGAGAATTGCAGCTGTACCTTTTTTGGCGTAGAACAACTGCTAATATAATATTTTTGGCAAAGCTTGATAAAATTACCTGGGGGGGGGGTACAACCTACATTTATGCTGGTGGATTCTAGAAATTGTAGTCCAAAAGGCTGACTTTTTCAAACTTTCAAATGTGAAGGGATACTTCTGACAAACTGAATGTCCAGGTAGCAAGGATATTGCTATAACATCTTGGAAAGATTTCTTACAAAATCATTTTTTAATAGATAGTATACTTTATATCTCCATTTTGGACACTAAAGAGAGATTTTACATGGGGAATAGTCGGATTTCCTTCTCTCTGGCATTTCTGCCATGTTGCTGCTTCTGTGAAAATATTTAGTAGAGTGTATTTCTCCAGAAGTTCTTTATGGAATGAAATAGACATCAGCTGAGAGGGTTTTTTTTTTTGCTTTTATTTTGGCATTTCATTGTTGCATTGTTGTCTGCAGAGACACTTGAGGGAGTTTATGTAGACCAGAATGTGAAAATCATTGGAGAAACTTAGGGTTACTGTGAGTCAGAAAAGACCTGATCATAAAGAAAAAGGAGAGGAAGAGGAGGAGAATTGGAAAAGTTTTTGAAAAGCTAAAATGGTCATCTTGACTGTTCACCCCTACCTCCCAGAATTGACACTTTTCATCAATGCTTCAAGATCTCCACTGGCTTAGCTATTGTCTCCAGGCACAAGGAAAAGAGTTGGTCCCAGCATATAAATCTCTAAAGTCTATTATGGAAAAACTCTAAAGATTAGTGTTCTCTTCGCAAAATTTCTAAAAAGGGATTTGCCTTGCCCAAGGTCATCGAATGAGTTTCCATGTCCAAGTGGAGATTCTAATCCTGGTCTCCAGTGTTATAGTCCAATGCTAACACTACTATACCATGATGACTCTCTCTTCTCTGAGGCAGATGCATATATCACGCATATATAGTGAATATGTATGATAAATATCATACATACCTAGTGAATAGTTTGCTACCGGGCACAATTCAAAGTGCTGGCTTTGGCCTATAAAGCTGCAAACGGCCCCAGCCCAATTTACCTGTCCAAATACATCTCCCCCTATGGAGATTAAGATCCTCTGAGGAGGCACTGCTCTTCGTCCCACCGTTATCACAAGCACAATTGGAACTCTCTGCCATGGAGTGTGGTGAAGGCTCCTTCTTTGGAGGCTTTTAAACAGAGGCTGGATGGCCATCTGTTGGGGATGCTTTGAATGCAATTTTACTGCTTCTTGGAGGGGGTTGGACTGGATGGCCCATGAGGTCTCTTCCACCTCTAGGATTCAATGAAGGAGAAAAACCAAGGTTACCTCTTCATATAAAGAAAACCAGGTACTGTTCCATTATCCAGGCGGACTCCAAAAGGGGACCTAGACAGAAAAGGATAGTCCATTTCACTCTGAGTAGGGGGAGTTAAGGTAGAAAAACCTTTCCCACTCATAAACAATGTGGAGAATAACAGGAAAACAGGGGGAAATTGTGTTTTCCCTTCACACAACCCTCCTCCCTCCCCCATAAAATGGACTATCCTTCTCTTTCTAGACCCCTTTTTGCCTTCGCTCAAATAATAGAACAGTACTGAAAACCAAAATAATGACCAGAGAAGATTTGCATAACTTTAAAACTGATAATGGTGACACTAAATCTGTTGAAGCCTGCCTACACCTTGGCTCACTCATTAATCAAAATGGAGAGTGCAGTCAAGAAATTAGAAGAAAACCAAGACAGCTGTGATCCTCAAGCACAAAAATATATAATTGAATACCAAAAAAGACACCTCCATGCCATAGTATTTCTGATATTTTTGTATGAGTGTGAAATCTGGACAGTGAAGAAGGCTGTCATCAAGAGAATCAACTCATTTGAAATGTGATGCTAGAGAGAGTTCTATGAATATCCTGAACTGCCAAAATAATTAACGAATGAGTCCAGTCATGAACTCTTAACAGAATCCAAATTGACCAAGGGTATTGTACTTTGGACATTACAATGAGATGACGTGATTCATGAGAAAAGTTGATGTTTCTCAATTAAACTTAAGACAGTAGGAAAAGAGAAAGACCACATTACAGGTAGAAAGAGCCAGTCAAGGAGTCACAGACCTGAATTTGCAAAACCTGAGCAGTACTGTCAATAACAAGATTTCACAAAGATCTTTCCTGCACAAAATTGCTGCAACTTCAAACTGACCCGATGGAACATTACAACAGCAGCACATCTCATACAGAAGGGTGAAAATAAGGTGTATCTTGCATAATATTTGTGTTGTTAGTTGACATACTATTCAACTATTTATGGATAATAGACATGGTTAGGTCCGGTCGAAATCTTCGTAATTCAGAATAAATTCGGAAAGATTTGCTTTTTGAAGCAATTTAGACATTTTTAAGGAAACCAGAAGTTCCTTTGCCCTTCCAGAACTTTTCCACCATTACTGTTATGAAGCAGTAAGTGAGTTGGAAATGATTCAGCTTCTGGTCTCAAGCCTGGGAAGCGTTTTAAACCAGACTGGATGGGTTTCCTCCCTTTCCTCTCCTCTCGCTTTTGTCTCAAGCCTTGGAAACATTTTAAACCAGACTGGATGAATTTCCTTCCTTTGCTTCCCCCCCCCCCCCCCCCCCCCCCCCCACCCGCTTCTGGTTGGCAGTAGCTGGGGATAACAGCGGGAGCTCACCTCAGATTCAAACCACCCATCTTTTGGTCAGCAAGTTCAGCAGCTCAGCAGTTTAACCCACTGCTCCACTTGGGGCTCCTTCAGAAGTATACTAAGTATAAAATGTAGGTGCCATAACTGTAAATGATCAGGAAGTATACTAGGTAGGATCAATTACAGTGATGGCACTTACATTTTTGGAATGACCCATTTGGTGCAACATATGGTACACAAAGACAGACAATACACTTTCTGGTGATTTTAAGTATTGTGGAAGAGAGCTGATAAATGATGATAATTTCTTGGTTTGTTGATTTAGGTTGTTTTAGTTTAATTGTTGTTGGTTTTTGTGCTCATCTTTCCCAATGTCTTGGGGAACCTATTGGATAAATAAATGAAAAGAAAGAAAGACGTCTTGCTCAATATATTTCTCAAGTGTGCACATCAACTCTGTTTCCCTGCATTGTTACTTTCAACCCAAGGTGAATCAGTTGCTGTTCTTTTCAGTTGCAACCCAGTCACCTGAGGGCATTTTTGGGGACAAGGGAAGGAGAGAGAAGGAAGTCACTAATGGGGCTGCATTTACCCTGTAGAATTAATGCAGTTTGACACTACTGTAATTGCTATGGCCCTATGTTATAGGATCCTGGGAGGTATTGTTTTCAAGGTTTTTATCCTTCTCTGCCAACAAATGCTAGTGCCTCACCCAACTCCAAATCCCAGAATCCCATTGATCCATGGTAGTTAAAGTAGAATCCATCTACTCTATTATTTATTTATTTATTTGCTATATTTATATTCCAATCTTCTCACCTTGCAGGGGACTCAGGGCAGATTACAATGCACATATACATGACAAACATTCAATGCCAGTTAGACATACAACATATATAGATAGATGCAGAGGCTGTTTTAACATTCCAGCTGTGCCCAAGCCTTTTCCGGCTTCATAAGGGTATGCTGGATTCCGACTCTATTCCGGCCACAGGGGGAGCTGCTGCTTCACCATCCATTGTGACACCAAATCCTTTGATGGAGTACTTCCTCATTCTTCTGCATGCTGCTGGAAAGTTTTTATGGTGCTGTAAATTAGTTAAATTAGAGTGGTACCTAAATTTCCTACTTGACAGATGCAACTGCCTTTTGTGCTGCATAGGTCAACAGCAAGCTAGACGAATGGCCGGAAGCTCACTTCAACCCAGTTTGGCTTCAAACTCATGACCTCTCGGTCAGTAGTGATTTAATGCAGCTAGCTCTCAGCTAACTGCGCCACAACCTGGTCACAACTGTATAGTGTAGATATACCCCAGTGATGCACTGCTATTTCCTTCTCTCTACTGCCCTTGTTCAAATGCACTATCAATACAAATGCCACTATTTGCTCCAAGTTTTAAACATGGTGATTGCATTGTGAGTGAAGAGAAAACAGCAACTGAAGGAAACCCTGGCTTTAGAAAGACAGAGAAGCAGAAGCAAACAAACAAAAATGTGACGGGAGTTCTAGGAGGTAGAGTCCAAAAAATAGCTTTCCCAAGGTTGGTTATGTCATGCAGCAGTTGCTACCAACATCTGTCTTCTCTCCTGAAAACAGTACAAGAACATCCCTGCCTGTCCCTTTGCACTGTAACGTCAAACAAAGGTACCAGATAAAAATGTACTGGCATGCATCCCCACCAAAAAGCAAGACAGAAACACATCCTTGCTGTCAAGGTCCCTGTCTTTTCAAGACAGGTGATGATTAGTTCTGTCAAAGTAGCACCAACAATCTGTCCTTGGCCCGGTTTTGGGAGATATTCCCCTCTGCATGAGATGGAGAATCCAATGCTAGACACACATGTCTATAGATCAGAACACTTGGGTGTACTGCCAATGTGGCCCATGAATAAATAAATAAATGAATAAGTAAATAAAAAAGATTGAGACAGTCAATAATTAAGTCATTTTAGGGTGCTGTACTCCAATATGCATTTTGTGCTTTGCTTTACAGGAACTGTTGGGTTGGAAGAGCACCAAATTCTCATTTTTCATTCTCTCTCTCTCTTCCCCCCTCTCCTTTCTCCTGTTACCTTTTGTCACCATATGATGCTCAGGGACTCCAGAGAGCCTAGCTGAGAAAGAGAGGCAGCTTATGGGCATGATCAATCAGCTGACCAGTTTGCGGGAGCAGCTGCTGGCAGCGCATGATGAGCAGAAGAAACTGGCGGCCTCGCAAATTGAGAAGCAACGCCAGCAAATGGAGCTGGCCAAGCAGCAACAGGAACAGGTGAGCGATTATTAAAAGAGACTTTTAATCTAGTCCTGCTCTTTAGTTGGGGAGCAGGATATTAGCATCCCATTAACATATCTCTATTTTAAGAGTTGCGAAATCTTTTCCAATCCCATGCTAGGGTTTGCTTTTTCAGGGATGTATGTGGAAAGTTGGATCAAATATACAGAGATCTGCATTTACTAATAGAGTACAATGGGAATTTCTTCTTTAAAGTAATAATAACAATAAATTAATTTTTATACCCTGCCTCTATCTTCCCAAAGGGACTCGGGGCGGCTTACAAAGGGACAAGCCCAGAGAGCACAGAGTTAAAATATAATGCAATAAAATAAAATAAAAAACAGAAGCAAATAAAAACATATCACAATAAAACATAACATCATAAAAACAGTACCATAGGAGCAAAAAAAGTGCTAAGTTCAGAGGGCTATGAGTTTGTGCAAAATTCCTAGATAGAGTTAAGCGAAAGTGCAAAATTCAGTGGAAGGGATGGGAGAGTAATGTCCTTGGGCCTTAAAATGTCAGGATTATAGAACGGAGGCCCATGCTAAAGTGCCGGAACTTAGGTATCAAAGGGCCAATTCTTTGAAACTGTCTCGTCAAAGGCACAACGGAACATCCATGTTTTTAGGTTCTTGCAGAAGGATTACAGGGTAGATGACAGTCTGATCTCCCTAGTAAGAGCGTTCCAGAGCCAAGGGGCCACCACTGAGAAGGCGCTCTCCCTCGTCCCCACCAACCATGCTTGAGATGGAGCAGAAGCGAGAGGAGGGCCTCCTCAGATGATCTTAGGGCTCGTGTTGGTTCATAGTGGAAGATGTGATTGCAAAAATATGCAGTTCCCAAACCGTTTAGGGCTTTGTAGGTAATCACCTGCACCATGAATTGGGACTGGAAACTCATTGGCAGCCAGTAGAGCTATTTGAACTGTAGCTATTTGAACTGTAGCTTGCTCCAGTTAGTAATCTGGCCACCGACTGCAATTTCTGGGCCGTCTTCAAGGGCAGCCCCATGTAGAGTGCATTGCAGTAATCCAATCTGGAGGTAACCATAGCCAAGTTGGACTTCACGAGGTACGGGTGCAGCTGGCACACAAGTTTTAATTGCACAAAGGCCCTCTTGACCACTACTGACACCTGAGTACAGTATATTCTGGCGTATAAGACTACTTTTTAACCCAAGAAAATCTTCTCAAAAGTCAGGGGTCATCTTATACGCAGGTGTAGTCTTATGCATGGGAATCGTCTTAACTCTATATTTTAACTGGAAAAGTTGGGGGTCGTCTTATACGCGCAGTCGTCTTATATGCCGGAATATACGGTATATTGGTCATAACCACATTGCTCAAATTATGGAGGAAATAGTTCCTGTGTGTATGCTGTGTACCTGTACATATGCAAGAAGAGGTTTTCTTGAAATCTACATGTCCCGTTATGTGATAGCATAGCCTCCAACCATCCTATTTTAACAGAGACAATCCCAATTAATCCTATATCTTCACACCTTTTCAACAGTTTTACTCTTGTTCCTCATTTTCCCACTTTGTGCTCAACTCACTTTACCTTGTGCAATCTATCTTCAAAGTTCAAAAGTCATTTGCATTCCCAGTAGACTCAGGCAACAGCAATGTGCAGAAGCCTTTCCTACTTTCCCTGCTCTTCCTCATTAATACCCTTGACCACTCGTGTTGCTTGGACACACATCTCAGTTTTGTTCTGGAACAGAATGTGATGGTAGACAAATCTCCCCGTGCTAGTATTTTTAAGAACAGTAGATAGGGTTGTGAAATCACCTTCCTCCATTCCCACTCCATACTGTGACCCTGGACCTCCAAACCTGAAACCAGACCTTTTCTTGTATACATTCACCAGAAGAATCATAGAATCATAGAATCAAAGAGTTGGAAGAGACCTCATGGGCCATCCAGTCCAACCCCCTGCCAAGAAGCAGGAATATTGCATTCAAATCACCCCTGACAAATGGCCATCCAGCCCAAGACTGTTGTGCTGAAGGGACATTGCTATCTGCCTAACCGGGAGGCTCAGTACATGGGAGAGGGCCTTTTCCATTATGACACTTTGGTTGTGGAATGCCCTTCCCAAGGAGGCCCAACTGGTACCAACATGTTCTTCCCCATTAACAAATTTTCCCATCTTGACCACACTCTCATGTCACTTGGAAACCCACTTTTGCTATGCAAAGCATTCGACGGGATGTGATAGTAGTTAAATTGCCTCCTACTCCCGATCTTGTAAAAATCATAGATACAGTTATCAGATTTCCTTCCCTCATCCCAGTAAATACTGTATGAAAACATGGGAGATGATCTTCTCCAAGAGGTCCAACTGACACCAACACTGACAGATATAAAATAAAAAGACAAGTCTTTATTAAAGCTTTGAAGCCTTAAATGGTGTGCTCAAAATATCTGTGAACATTGTTTTATTTTTTATATTTTAAAAAATATTTTAAAATGTTTTGGAGCCCCTGGTGGTGCAGTGGGTTAAACCGCTGAGCTGGTGAATTTGGTGACCAAAAGGTCACTGGTTCAAATCTGGGGAGCAGAGCGAGCTCCTGCTGTTAGGCCCAGCTTCTGCCAACCTAGCAGTTTGAAAACATGCAAATGTGAGTAGATCAATTGGATCTGATCTGACGGGAAGGTAATGGCACTCCATGCAGTCATGCTGACCACATGGTCTTGGAGGTGTCTACGGCAGTGCCGGCTCTTCAGCTTAGAAATGGAGATGAGCACCACCCCCCAGAGTTGGACACGACTGGACTTAATGTCAGGGGAAAACCTTTACCTTTACCTTAAAATGTTTTAAATAGCTAAATTGTTTTATGTGCTTAACCTGTTACATTATTATTGTTATTATTATGACAATTATTTCTGTTAAATTGTTTTAATGTATCAATTTTACTTGTGTCCTACCCTGCTCTATCTATCTGAACTGATTGCTTGATTTGGTCCAGTTGTGGAGTGGGTCAAACATCACTCACCCACTGTTGTAAATTTGCCTTAGAGTAATAGATAAGAACTATTTTGATGAAGTTAAAGGTTTTAGTTGCTTATTTTAAATAAACACAATGTGATTAGCAAATACAGTATGACTCTGATATCCATCACACTTTCTAGACTTTACTTGGAAATGCAAAACCATAGCTAATAGCAAATCCTATTGAAATTAAGGGCTTATATACTATAGTACTATATAGTACTATACAATGCAACACTATACTATACTATAGATGTTTGCACTAAGTTATTTCAGTCAGGGAATATTAGAGGGCATGCTCTAGCTCTTCCCAGCAGGTTCAGGAAAAAGGAATTGCTGCAGGGTTGCTGTGAGTTTTCTGGGCTGTATGGCCATGTTCCAGAAGCATTCTCTCCTGATGTTTTGCCCACATCTATGGCAGGCATCCTCAGAGGTTGTGAAGTCTGTTGGAAACTAAGCAAGTGAGGTTTATATATCTGTGGAATTGCAACATTCACACTTGCCTCAAGCAGATAAGAGTTATTTCTCCCATCCTGGACATTCCTGCACATACAGCCCCAAAAACTCACAGCAACCCAGTGATTCCAGCCATGAACACCTTTGATAACACATTGAAAATGCTGTAACTTCTCTGCACTTGTGAGTTCTCCCTTATTAATTACTTTTGCTTCTTTTCTACACTGATTGTGCGTGGTCATTCATGTCCCAGTTTTAATCTGTGAAATTATGGATGGTATGGGATCTTTTTGCTAAAGTCATACCACTATATGGCATCAAATGAAGCTGTTCATAAAAAGTGGAATATTGCCTTAATTTTTTAAAAAACCAATTATTTGATAAATATGCCAAGCTGGGGCTATTTCTTGTGACCATTATAACCAAGCTGTTTGACATTTTCTACATTGGTTGACAGAGTAGAAGTGCCTATTGCTTTAATTTGTGTAGGACTAACTGCTGGCAAACTTCCCAGTGAAATGGACAATGGTCTGCTTTTGCTAATTATTATTTTAAGAAGAGGATAAATATGAATGATGTGCTGTTAATTAAATTGTATATTACATTGACTCCACACAGATTGCAAGACAACAGCAGCAGCTTCTGCAGCAACAACACAAAATCAACCTTCTACAGCAACAGATCCAGGTCAGAGATTGTGAATCTAGCTATTATCTTAATTTATTTTCATCTTCCTCCCTCATTTTTACCAGTCCCAATTTACCAGTACCTTACCTTTAATAAATTGATAAATGTGTCCACATACAGGTGAATTAAGACTTATTCTAGAACTATAGTTATTAGGGCTGTCCAACCACGGAAAAATTTGTTTCTAAACTCGATTCGTTTTTAGGCGGTTTTTGCGTTTCGTTTTTTAAAAGAATTCCGAATTTTTTTCTTTAAAAAAGTTCGATATTTACGAAATTTCGGAAATTACGAAACAATTTCGAAACAATAACGAATCGATTCGTTAATGGCGGACGCGATTGCGCAATACGCTAAAAAACCCTCCAAATGGGACAGGGGGAACTTCTGAAGCTTCCCTCTCCCTCTGTTGTTGACTGTTGGTGTGATAATTTATTTTTTTTATCACTGATAAAACAAACAACAACTATAAAACTTGCACCAGACATACGGAAATAATAACGAAATAATAACTAAATAATAATGAAACGATTTCGAAACAATTACGAAACAATTACGAAACAATACGAAATAAATTTTAAAAATTCGTTTAGATTTTAAGTTGCTCCTGAATGGTTCAATATCGCTTCGTTATTAAAAAAAACGAATTAATAACGAATTACGAAATTAACAAACGAAACCGCCCAGCCCTAATAGTTATGTCTATATTCATGGGTGTACCTCTTCAATATTGGTTAGATCAGTGACCTATGAGTCCCCAGATGTTTTGGCCTTCAACTCCCAGAAATCCTAACAGCTGGTAAACTTTCTGGGAGTTGTAAGGCCAAAACACCTGTAGACCCACAGGTTCTCAACCCAGTTGAGAACCACTGGGTTAGATCTAGACTTTGGCTGGATCTACATTGTCATATGACCCAGTTTCTGAATGCAAATTAACTGTTTTGGATTATATAAATTTACACTGCCATATAATCCAGTTCAATGTATTTAATCTGCATTCAGAAACTGGGTTATATGACAATGTAGTTCCAATCAAAGTCTAGATCTAACCCAGTGGTTCTCAACCTGTGGATCCCCAGGTGTTTTAGTCTACAACTCCCAGAAATCCCAGCCAGTTTACTACCTGTTAGGATTTCTGGCAGTTGAAGGCCAGAAATCATTAGAGTGCATCTGCACTGTAGAATAAATGCAGTTTGATACTACTTTAGCTGCCATGACTCAAAGCTATGGAATTCAGGAATTTATAGTTTGATTGCGCATCAACACTTGTTAGCACAGAAAGCTAAAGACCATGTAAAACTACAACTACTGTAAGTAGAGAGGCATCTTTGTGTCCAGTGGCATAGTCCACAGGTTTTGTTGCCATTGTGAATGGACTAAGCATTCATTCTTCTTCTTTTGGGGCAAAATATCCCCTTTAATCATCAGATTGGCACGCTTATAAAAGTATGGTGGATAATTCTCCTACCCAGTCTTTATTTTGCATGCCTATCCTTGTGATCGTCTTTAGACAGGCTTGAAGAATTGGTTGCCCTATTTCTCTTTCAGGACACGAGGGGTGGGTGGGCAGAGATGAAGAGAAAGAGGGAGGGTGTGCTTTAGAATACCTTTTATTTTATTTGCAACCATGTGCTTGTACATATGGAAAAGCCCAGCATGCAGCCAAGGGTGCCGAAAGGGAGAAAGAAAAGCATCCTTGCCCATTGAACTGACCTACTGAGGGGAACATTAGTACACCATATGATCACCGTCTCATCCGCGTGGAGAATGTGGAGTCATGTGCACTTTTCTTTGACAGCCAAAAAGAGAGAGAGAGAGAAAAGGCAGCTTTTGCTGAGGGAAGGCATTTAAAAAAAGAAAGAAAGAAAAAGAAAGAAAGACAAGGTGGGAAAAAAGATGATTCAAGCAAGATAACAATAATTTTTTTTACTGCTGGCTGGTGGAGGTGTTTAGGATGTGTTTTCTTTATATCTCCGTCCGCCCCTAATTGACGATGCTTTAAAATTGAATGACTAGCAGTCAAAACGTGTTTGCTTCAAGCTGAGAAGAAAAATGCCGGTGTCTGTGCTTCCAAACTGATTGCGCTTTGTACACAACTGACAGCGGCAGTCACTTTGAGTGACTGATAAGTGCGGAGCTTTGCCACTTATCAAGGAATGCGAGCTGAAAAAGAAAAAAAGGACTCTCCGCCATTCAGATGCGTTGGCATGTTCAAAATAACATCTCACATCAGTCAGGCTCACAAGGCACCGGGAGACGCTTCAAAATAAACTTTGTATCCATCTATCTTGCTATCTGGAGGCAAAGATTCAATTTAACAGACAAATCACCCGTGTAGCATCGCTGTGTTTCCCCCCAAAACAAGAACATCATTATGACAGTCATGGGTTCTTGCTTGGGTTTTTGTTTTAAGCAATTGCTGGGATTTCTACAGTGTTGGGTGGATCTCAGATTGGCCAAAGCCTGCCTTTCGCTAAAATGTAATTGTCAAAATGCATATGCCAACTTTTATAGAGCTCTGTGGGAGGACCATAAATCCAGGGCAGAAATCATCATCATCATCATCCATCATCATCTTTATTTATACCCCGCCACCATCTCCCCAGTGGGGACTCGGAGCAGCTTACATGAGGCCAAGCCCGAACAACAAATTACAATAAAAATAAAACCAAAACACAACCAAAAACGCAAACAGTAAACAGCAACATCATAATAAAATAAAACATGTAAACACATAACAATATAAAGTTACACTAGACGCAATCACAATGACAATGGGCGGGCTGCATATAATGATTAAAAGAGAGACTAATTAAAACTAATGTAAAACTCAGGCAAGATAAAAAGAGATAGATTATTTGTGGAGGAGAGCTCATTATAGCGGGGGTTGAGGAATCAAGCTTTCCCACAGAAGTGGGACGACATATACTCCAATGACAGAACGTTGAGGCTAAGCAGTAGTGTGGGATTGTATACCTAGTCTCCAAAGGCGCAGCGGAAGAGCCAGGTTTTAAGATCCTTTTTAAAGGTTTCTAGGGTAGGGGCTTTCCTAATTTCTCCAGGGAGTGAGTTCCAAAGTCGGAGGGCCACAGAGGAGAAAGCTCTCTCCCTTGTGCTTACCAGGCGAGCTTGTGAAGCTGGCAGGGGTGAAAGAAGGGCCTCCCCAGGTGAACGGAGGGTCTGAGATTTATTTATTTTATTTATTTATTATTCGAACTTATATGCCGCCACTCCCCTGGGGCTCGGAGCGGCTTACAAGAGTGGCTTACAAGAGATGGTACATGGAGGGAGATATGGTCACGAAGGTAGACTGGTCCCAAACAGTTTAGGGCTTTGAAGGTGATAACCTGCATCTTGAATTGGGACCGGAAAATAAACGGCAGCCAGTGGAGCTCCTTAAACAGGAAGGTTGACAGCTCCCTGTAAGTTGCCCCAGTTATTAATCTGGCTGCCAAACGTTGGACAAGTTGTAGTTTCCGGGCCATCTTCAAGGGTAGCCCCACATAGAGAGCATTACAGTAATCCAGTCTAGAGGTAACTAAGGCATGGACCACCATGGTCAAGTCAGACTTCACGAGGTAAGGTCGCAGTTGGTGCACATGTTTTAATTGCGCGAAGGCCCTCCTGGCCACCGCCGACACCTGCACATCAAGCATCAGCGCTGAGTCCAGGAGGACCTCCAAACTGTGGACCTGTGATTCAGGGGGAGTGCAACCCCATCCAGCACAGGTTGCCACCCAATACCCCAGTCAGCCGAGCGACTGACCTGGAGGACCTCTGTCTTGTCAGGATTGATCCTCAGCTTGTTCTTCCTCATCCAGGCACTGGTCCAATATCCTCGGGGCTTCCTTGGAATCAGGTGGAAAAGAGTAGTGGAGTTGGGTGTCATCTGCGTAGAGATGGCACCGTACTCCAAAACTCCAGAGTGGTTTCATGTAGATGTTAAATAGCATGGGGGACAGAATAGAACCTTGCGGGACCCCACAGGTCAACGGCCAGGGGTCCGAGCAGGAGTCCCCCAGCTTCACCAACTGGGAACGACTTTCCAGGAAGGACCGGAGCCACAGTAAAATTGTGCCCCCGAGTCCCATCCCAGCGAGCCTCCTGAGAAGGATACCATGGTCGATGGTATCGAAAGCCGCTGAGATATCCAAGAGAACCAGCAGGGTCACACTCCCTCTATCCAGTCCCCTGCGGATATAGATATATACATTAGGTTCAGTTTGGTCATTTTTTTCTCTCTTTTTTCAGATATTACATTTGTTCTGTCTCATTTCAGCCCCACTTGCCAGTGTTTTACAAGTTTGGCTGGTTCCACACAGCACAAAAGTCCGTTCTGACCCAGGTTTAGAAAATCTGGGTCGGGGCAGACTTCTGTCCCCACACCAGCGTGAAAAAACCCTTGCTTTTGGCAGGAATTGTCAAGATGCCCTCTCGGAAGCTTCCAGGAGGACAGGCAGACACCCTCACCCCTCCCCAAAACCCCTTTTAAAAACCCTAAAAGAGAAAATAACTTACCAGGCCACCATAGCACTGCTGTTGAAGATCTCCCAACATGGAGAAATGATGCACCAGGAGATGGGAGAGGGGAGCAAAATCACTCCTCATTCCCCTTCTCCTGCCACATCATTTCTATGCACTACAAAACCTCTGAAAACAGTGTAATGATGGTCTGATAAGTTATTTTCTCTTTTGGGGGGGGGGGCAAGAGTTTCTGAGAAGGGATTGGTGCCCTTGGACTGAATCAGCCCAGAAAACCCACGAGGACTGTGCAGAATACCCCCTTGATAGTCCCAGGACTGCCAAGGGGGCAGTCCACACAGGGTCCATACTCAATTAGACCCGGGTCTTTCAGGAAAACCCAGGTCTAATCCAGTACCTAATTAATTCAGGAGAAAGCAGGGTTTTCCTGCTTTCTCCTGAATTAATTCGCTTTTACCTGAGGCGTCTCAGGCAAAAGTCAGAGAGGGCCTATATTTTGGGTGCTGTGTGGATGCACCTTT